CCCTGAGATCATGACCTGAGCCGAAATCAAGAGTCGAGAGCACTGACTGAGCCACCCAGGTGTCCCTCACAGTGTAGATTTAATGCACATCTTTCCTTTTACAACTGGAGTTGAGGCATTTTCCATATGTTTAAGGGACATTTGTATTTCTTTTTCTATAAACCATCGGTTCGTGTATTTTGGCATGTTCAGGGTTGTTGGTCTTTTTCTTTTTTGATTTCTGGGAACTCTTTATGTGAAGGAGATGAATCATTTGGCTGTGAAATAATTTCCAAATATTTATTCCTACTCTGTCATTTGTCTTTTCACCTTTATGGTTTTTTTTTTAATGCAAAAGCCTTTTTAAAAAAAAAATTATGTAGTCAAATTCCTCGCCAAACTGTATTTACTGATTCTAGATTTTGAGTCACAGTTAAAAAGGTTGCTTTCACTTCCAGGTTTTAAAGGAATTCACCCATGTTTTCTTTTAGTATTTGTACGGTTTAATTTAAAAGTATGCTTGAATAGCCGATTCATTTAGGAAAGATGTGTGTGTGGCTTTTGCACATTTCTTGTTAAATTTATTACTCAGTATCTTTCCGTTCTTCCTTTCTTTCTTTTTGCTGCTATTGTGAATGAGGGTTCTTTTCCAAATATCTTTTTAACTGGTTGATGATTATATATAGGAAGACTATTTGCTTATTTATATTGATTTTATATTTTGCCAATTTAACATGGATAACTCTAGTTTTATATCCTTATTTCTAATTCTTATGCCTCTAATTGCTCCTCTTATTCAAATTGGCTAATACTTTTTTTTAAAGATTTATTTGTCAGAGAGAGAGAGAGTGCGCAAGCATAAGCAGGGAGATTGGCAGGCAGAGGGAGAAGTAGACTCCCTGCTAAGCAGAGAGTTTGATGCGGGACTCAGTCCTAGGACCCTGGGATCATGACCTGAGCCGAAGGCAGATGCTTAACTGACTGAGCCACCCAGGCGCCCCTGGCTAATACTTCTGGTAAGTGGTTAACTAGTTGCAGCAATAGTAAGTATCTTGTCTTATTCCTGACTTTAGTGGGAATACCTCTGGTGTCTTCCCATCAAAAAGGATGTTGGCTTTGGGGCTGGTGTGTGTGTGTGTGTGTGTGTGTGTGTAATTACATTAAGAAAGAATTTATCGATTTTTATTTTGCTGACTGTTTTTTTTTAATCAGTCACGGGATTGAATTTTCTTTTCAGCGTCAAAGGAAATGACCATTTGCTGTTTCTATGTAACTATAGTACTTAATGTGAATGAATTTTTGGTATTGGATGATCCTTGCAATCGTGGAATAGATTGTACCTGGTCCTGTGTATTTTGCTTAATATGCTATTGGCATCTGTGTGACAATTTTTATTTAGAATTTTTCCTTCAATATTTATAAAAGATTAGGATCTGATTTTCTTTTATTGTGTGCAGCCTTAATCATTTGCATATCAATTTGAAATTCACTTCATAAAACTAATTTGGAAGTTTTCTCTTGTGTTGTATGTCTGTATGTTTTAAGTAACATTGAAATGATCTGCTCTCTAGAAGCTTGTTGTAGTCCCCCTGTGAAAGCATTCAGGCCTGGCATTCTTTTCAGCTGGGGAGGGAGAGCTCTTGATGGTTAGGAGTTTTTCTGAATGCTGTGTCTTCTTGTACTTCTATTCCCCATCCCTGTCGTCTGGGATGCTGAGGGCTCCAGGTAGCAGGAAGTAGGAAGTAAGGCTCCAGGGGCAGAGGATACCTTTCTCAAGACAGATGGGGCCTGGGGGTGGATTGGAGAAGGGACAAGAGGGGAGTGAAACCAGTGGGTGGGTGGGTGGCCGGTGAATAGATGCTGGGGAGGCCCAAGCTGAGGAGAGATCAGCTGCTTCTTCCCAAAGATCTTTCTTCTGACTCTGCATTCCCACCTCTCCTGGTGTGTGTGTGTGGGGGGGGGGGATCGCTGTCTTATTTTCACAGCTGAGAATGCAAAGGAAATTTCCCACAGGCCACTGAACTCTTTGGCAGCCCCTGTGGGGGAGGTCTTCAGAATCACCTCACCTGAGAGAGTTTAGACTAACAGTCAGCAATCCCACCCCCCAAGTCTCCTCCTTTGCATCTGTCCTGAGCCAGTTTCAGCCAACAAGCCCTGGGGCTCACAGACTTATTAAAAATCCTGAGGTCATAGACATTCCTTTCATGTTGAATTTTTGATATTCTGAGGCAGCTCTCTCCACAAGGGCTCTGAAACAACCACTCCACTGTTCAGAGAGCTCTGCTGTGAGGTGGTTTTGCTATGGCAAATGGTGGAGGGGGGTAGACTCTTCCGGGTGCCCTGAATGTCCATGCCCCATCTTTCCCCTGCTTCCTGTTTCCCTGCTCTGCCAGCCCTCTGTGCACCTGCAGGAAGCAGGGGTCTCCTTCCCCCTCCCCCCCGCAACACCACCTACCACCAGGAGGTGCTGGTCTGTAAGGTAGAGAGTGGGAGCACTCGGCTACAAAAGTCCCCTCTTCTGCAGCTGCAGGATGTTGCTCTTGATTAGAGGCAGGGAAGAGGAGGGAGAGGAAAGCTGTGATGTCCCTGGAGCTCCCCACCACTTCTGAGCCGAGGGAAGACTTTGGAGAGGCTGAAGCTCAAAGGCACCGCTGAGAAATTGTTCTGTGCCCCAGGTCGTGTTTCCTGGGTACAAGTTGCGGGCCTTGTGGGAAGCGGGTCCACGGTCAGCCCCCTTCGCCCAGTGCTGTGATCCTGCCAGGCCACAGGCTTCTAGCTGGAGCAGGTGGGCCGGCAGTGGGCTTGCAGGGCGAGGGGAAGGCTGGGCTGTGAGAGGACTTGGGGCGTCTGGGGAGTGCTCTACATTCTGGGCCAGCACTTCTTCCCCCTTTAGATGCAAATGGAGTCCCTTTCCCAGCACCTGTACAACTGCCTCAGGGCTGACCAAGCTTGTCCAGCCCACAACTGTCAAAGTCAGGGGAAAAAAAGTGTGGTGACTCCTTTTAGAACTTTCCGATCTCGGAGATGTGAGTTAGCACCTGAATGACCACAGAGGTTCACACTGTGCTGCAGGGGCTGTGCTGTGGGGGCTGACAACTGGCTCCAAAGGCTCAGGGATAGTCTCCTCCCATTTTCCTCTTTCTTCTTTAATTAATATTATTATCAATACTATTACTAATGTATTGAACCCTTCCTATGTGCCAAGTGCTGTGCTAAACAGCTTACCAAACAAATTCATTCCCTGAATCCTCATAAGCTTACAAGGTGGGACGGGGGGGAGGGCAGTGGGCACTACTGTTCTTGTTGACAGAGGAGGAAACTGAGGCTTAAGGAGATTGAGCAGTTTTCTAAAGGTCACCAAAGCAAACTGTATTTGGACCTACGTGTCTTTTTTTTTTTTTTTTAACCACAGTCTATTAATCATCACCCTCAAATATCTCTGGAAAACACCATTGGTCAAAACGGATTTGACCGTGTTCCTCTTCAGACTGATTACTTGGAAACAAATAGAGAAATCCTTTAACCATTTTTTTTAAACTTAGTTTAAGTTTCTTGGGATTTCTCATTATATAAGGCAGGTCCTGCCTGTATGGCTTTCACCCACCTGTACGAACTATGGAAATTTGTTATAGCCCAAACCCCAGTGCCCCCTATTTGTGCTCTATTTCCACTAGCTGCTCCCAGCTCTCCCACCCCTGGCTCCTCTGCCTCGACAGCCAGTTTTTGGAAACACTCTGCCCGTTCCAGCTGTGCACCCTCCCTGGGACACACATTAGGGATTACAACTTCTCCGGCTGCGGGCCCTGTGACTACTAGAAGGAGGTGGAGGAGATGTGTCTTGATGTGAGCCTTGAGGGACAGGTTGAATTAGGGCAGAGAGAGGTCGATGAGGTGTATGTTGTCTAAGAGGCTGGAGGTGGGCTGTGGGGGCTGCACGGGTCATGATGTCCAGCTAGGAATGAGCAGACCCCAGGGAGGAGAAGAAACTGGTGTGAGATGGAGCATCCTGCAGGGGGGAGGGGGAGCCTAGGGGCCTGGACAGTGTGGAAGGCTCAGGGTGCTTGCCTGGAATGGAGGGGCAGAACAGCAGGCTTTAGACGTTCCCCTGGTAGAGGAGCAGATTTTTGGGACGTACACCATGAAACATGCCCAGGGTAGCAGAGGCAAGCCCTAGAGGCAGGTGAAGAGAGACCCTCCACCTCCTTTCCCCAGAGTGTGGATTCACCAGAGAGCAAGCTTGGACTGTCTGAAGGCAGCGTCCATGATTATTCACCCTTGTCTCCCCAGAGCCTGGTGCTGAGTCTGGTGTTTTGTAGGCCCTCAGGACTTTCAAATAAATGCAGGAACAGACAGAGGGCGGGAAGGAAGAAGGATGGGTCAACAGTAGGACTTGATCAGGAGCTAGGGACTCCAGACAAGCATCAACCAACCCCTTTCCAGGGTCAGATAACTGGGGCTCACGCTTCTCTGCATTGCTGGTTTTCATGGGTGTCACTAGTCACAAGAAAACTCACTCCTCTGGTCTCCTCTGATTCTACTGGGTTAGAGAAACTAAGCCAAGGTTCAACAAAATCTCAGTCCAGATACATGAGACTGAAGAAATCCGATTCAAGAAGAGGAACCTCATTCAAAGGCAAGTTGCCCTGTTGTCCAAGACTTTTTGTCCTGCCTACATCTTGTCTCTGAAGTAACTGCCTCTTGTTCATGGATCATTAGATTTCAAGCACAGGTCCTGGTCTGTAAGTGTGCAGACGTAGGTTTCTCTTATGGGTGCACATTCCTTAGTTGGATGAAGCCAGGGGGAGCCCAGTGAACTCCATCAGTAACCAGTTCTTCAGAATCTTGAGCATGACACAGATAGACGGAGACCTTGAGCTCCTGAGACAAAGGCTGATACAAAACAGGCGCATTAAGACAGAACTTAAAAACGGTAGATTGACTAATAGTAACCCAAAGACCAATGTGCTTTTAACCACATTTTTGTTTATTTTTTAGTGTGTTTCCTTCACCGTCTTTCTTGTGGCTCACCCTATGCAGTTTGTGTACTTGTTGAGAGCTTTTTTTCTGTCTCTGACATTAGTTTTTGCTGAGCTCAGTTCTTCCAAGACCCTCTCTCCTCATAGGCTCGGTTTTGGCCTGCTAGCTGCAGCCTGCCAGTTTTGGTGGCAGGAGAGGCCTAGGCTGCTTCCTGTGGGCCCCCCGTTGGGCAGAAGCATGCGGTGGTATCTCCTCCTGATCTGGGCCCAGGGCCTGAGGCAGGCTCCCCTCCCAGCCTCAGGTAAGGCCTGACAATCCAGCGTGGGATTGGAGGAAGAGGAGCAGGAAAGGGAGGCTGGGAGTGGAAGTGGGAGTGAGGGAAGGAAACGCACGGTTTTCATAGTCCTGTGTCCCCTCGTGTGAGAAAAGGCAGCCCCTGGGTAGGAGGTGCAGTTCTGTTTTGGCGGATGAAGTCCTTGGGGTTGGGGTGCCTGACTGGCCAACCCAAGAAAGGAAACAGGGGAAAGAAAGGGACAAGGAGGCGGGATGCTCAGTTCCCTTATAGAAGTTCAGTCCTGCTCCATCGTTCTGTCTTCTGTCCTTGAGGAAACTTCTAGAAAGGCATTGTATGTTTTCTGTGGATCAAAAATGTCTTCTTCACAGACTCCAGAGAGTCTACCGTTATAGATTGAATTTACACTAGATCTGTTTTCTTCTGTATTAAGAACCACAGACAAATGTTTCTGAGGAAGCACACAGATGCTGAGAAACTATAGTCTAACTTATTTTTTATGTTGTTTTTTGAATCATTTGAAGGTGGAGCTGTGCCCACAGTGCTGGGGTGGTCAGTGCTGAGGAGGGTGGTTTTGTGTGGGAGAAACAGTTTCTCTTCAACCCTCCTTTCCTTTGGATTTTGTGGCTTTCCTGAAAGTTTTTCTAGGCAACCCCAAATGGCAGCCAACCAAACCGCCAGGTTTCATTTCAAAGGATAATGTGCCCAGCACAGAACTGGCTGCTGGAAGCTAAAGTATAACAGAAGTGGTGGCTGACAGGGCTTATATTCTAGGTAGGGAGAGAAAATAAGTACATGGAAATAATCAGCGAGCTCGTCATGAAGCTAGATTACAGCAGAATATCCTGAGTGGGTGATGGGCTCTGCCGTGTAGCAATTATAGTCTCTGTGGGGAGTGACGGGATGGACAGGAGAGTCTGTCATTCCAGAAACCAACTGTGGCCTCAAAGCCCTTTGGGATTTTGGTGGGAAGTTTTAAGGATAGCTGTTGCCCCAGGACTCATGCATGCTTTCTCCCCTTCCCTAGGAGCTGTGTCAGGCAGGATAGTAACAATGGGGAACGTTTCTGCAGAGGAAGGTGGCTCTGTCACCTTGCAATGTCACCTCTCCTCCACCACTGCCAAAGTAACTCAGGTCAACTGGGAGCAGCAGGACCAACTTCTGGCCGTTCATCATGCTAACTTGGGGTGGCACATCTACCCAGCCTTCAGGGAGCGCGTGGCCCCGGGGCCCAACGTGGGCCTCACCTTGCAGTCGCTGACCAGGAACGACACAGGGGAATACTTCTGCACCTATCACACCTACCCTGATGGGATTTACAGAGGGACATTCTTTCTGGAGGTCCTACACAGCTCAGGTATGCCCTCTGGGGCAGGGTGGCTGATGAACTTCATCCTCCAGAATAGGAAATGTGTTCCTGCCAAACACTCTGCCGGAGCAGGGTCTCTCAATCTCGGCTCACGTTCAAATCACCAGGGAGCTTTAATGATACTGACGCCGGTACCCCTTTGCAGACCAGCTTAATCAGAATCTCCAGGGGCAAACCTGGGAGGTAATAGGTTCTAAAAGCCTGGTGATTTAAATGCGAAGCCAGAACTGAGAACCACTGTTTGGGGTAAGAAGTGCATCTTATGTGCGTTTGTTGGGAAGAATAGTCATTAAGGTCATTTGGGAAATGTTCTCGTTTATTAGTTTAGCATCAATCATGCAACTTGGAATTAGCTTCTAAGTTTTATAAAGGATTAAAACACAGTGTGTGTTAAGTGAAAATGTACAGCAATTTACATTTGTTTGGTACTTCATAGTTTCCAGAATGCTCTCACATTCATTATCCACCTGAACAACTTAAAGCGGTTCCCTGGAAGGTGGGAAAAGATGATTGCATCTGACAGACAGTATAGCAGACTGCTTATGAGCTCAGGCTCTGACACCAGCCAGACTGGGTCCCAAATCCTGGTGCTGCTGTTGACTTCAGACAGAATCACTTAGCTTCTCTGTGTATCTCTTCTCTCATCTGTGAAATGAAAATAAATGTAACCTTACGAGGTGCTACCACAGTATTGAATTCCTTACTGCAAGAAAATGCCCTTAAACAGGGCCTGGGACTAAGGAAGTGTTAGCTATGAATGCCAGCCCCTCCCACGTAACTATCTGATGGGGGCGGAGGCTGAGAAGATATAAGGCTACTCGCAAGTTTCTTTTTAAAATGGTACTTCTTGGCTGGCTGGGACAAAGGTCAATGCCGCACGCGGGTAGGAGCCCGTATCCTTTCTGGTTCTGTGGACAGCCCGCCGTAGCCCTTCTGCCTCGTGAAGCTGTGTTCTCCATGACCACTTTGCTCCCCATCTGCCCTCCTTCCCCACCTGCGGCCAAAGCAAGAGGCTGAGTCTGCCGGGCAGAAGGAACTCATTCTGGGAGCTTGGGCTCCCTCCCGCTGGTATCCCGTGGGTACTGTGAGCACTACCTTGCCCCAAGTGACTGCACTTTTAGCCATCTTTCCCACAGTGTAAACCCTTAGTTAGAGGGAAGAGGGCCCAGCCTCTGCTATCCCCTCCTTTCAAGACTTCCCTGGACACCTGGGATCTGCCTGAGCTCCTGGAAAGGAGGCGGGGATGGGACACGGCAGCCTGGAAACCCTTCCGCCCGCGGCATAGCTCACATCTGGGCACCTGTCCTGTTTCTTTCCCACTCTCCTTGGATCGGCTATCCCACTTCTCTTCATAACTCCCTTTTGGCTCCTCCTCCTTACATTTTACATCTTAATAGAAGTTCACTTTTTCATGCTTTGGTTCATATCACGAATATTTATTAAGCACCTGCTATGTGCCAGGTGCTGAGAAAACGTAAAGGATAAAGCTCTAGAACCTCACTCCCCTGCCAGAATCCCCCAGCTGGAATAATGTGATAGGCTTATGGCGAAAGGTTATATGCTTTTTGCCCTCTTTTTAGTACTTTAATATTAATTTTATTTTAATTTTTAATTAAACTTTTTTCCTGGTATGATTATAAATATGAAATTTAATAAAAGAAAATGTTCACTCTCTGGGGTTTTTTTTTTTTTTTGCTCTGGATGTCATTGTTTCATTTCATGATTATTATAGAAAGCGATTTTATCGATTAGAGGAAGGGAGTGTTAACAGTGGTCTGCTCTGGGGTCAAATGTGTGAGGTGCTCGAGAGGTCAGCAGCTGATTTCACAACGGGCCAGGCAGATGCTCTGTTGGCCAAAGAGCCGGGCTTACCGACCCCAGAATTTTGAGAAAGGCCTGGCCAGCCCCCACCTCTGGGCCCTGACATGGAGGCTTCGCTGTGTGATGGTTGCCTTTTGCTTCTGGCTTTCACCCCCTCATCTTCATTTTTTTCATCCTTCCAGTGGCTGAGCACAGCGCTGCATTCCAGATCCCACTGCTGGGAGCCATGGCCACCGTGCTGGCAGTCATCTGTGTGGCAGTCATCATGGTGGTCACACTGACCAGAAAGGTAATGACTCTGGCTGCACAGTTCAGTCATGGGCACCCCCCCCCCCAGCCCGTGCCATCCTTTCATGTCCCTGTCCTAGCCAGAGAAAGACCAAGATGTGGTCCCGCCCTCTTTTCTTCATGCTTTTCGATGGCCCTTGCTCTGCCTTTCTGTCAAGTTGTTTACGCTCTTCTTCTGTCCCCTTCCTGGTCTGGGAACCCCACCCAGAAAGCCTGGACCTGTATGCTTCCCATCTTGCTATCACCTACAGTTCCCAGCTCCTGCCTGCCCCTGAAGCCACTCCCCGGAGAGTTTATCTATTGTGAGTTTGATGCATCTGGGGGCATCCACTCTGTGGTAGGGAGTTGTGCATGTGAGCTTATTTGATTTTAATAACCTTTCCGTATTGCTGGGCTACCCAGCACTTCTGTAGGATGAGAAATAAACACTCCCCAAATTTAGGAGTAAAAGGTACATGGCAAGATCAGTAGGCTGTAAATCCTCTGTTCCTCTGGCTTAAGAGGTCACACAGCTGAAAACGTGCTAGATGGGCAAGTGGATGATGTAGTGCTGACCATAAGGTCAGCACTGAGTGTGATTACAGGGAAGACGTTGAATCTCCCTGGCCTCCATTTCCTCAGATAGAAAGCGGAGATGCCCGTGATTCTGCTTGCTCTCTATCACAGAGTTGCGATGAACAGGTGGCACATTGCATGTGAAAGCTTTGTAAACAGTGAAAAAAATATTAACGTGCTTGTGCTGTTAACTGGTAGCTACCGATTAGCGAAAGAATTTCCACCATTTGTTTTGTCTGCCCTTTTGGACTTTTTTAAGCTATCCCGGGTCACTTTAATTCCAGTCACCAAACATTTTGGGGAAGGCAAGATTGGGATTGCCAATGTTATTTTCCACCTCATCTTAGACCCTGCTCCCTAGTTCCCGATTTACTTTCCCCCCAACTCGGGTTCCGCTCAATTAACAACCCACCTCTTCATCCCTGACTTTGCTTCCTCTGGACCATGTACATGCTGCTGTTATCACTGATATAAGTGGGTTTGTAGCCACCACCTTATTTTCTTCATATTTGTTTTGCCTGTTTTCCCCCTATTCTTTCTTGCTGTCTTTTGAATTAAGTACTTACTATTATAAAAAAGATCTCTTTGGTAATGAGGCATTTTTGGCTATTCTTATAGTGGTTACACTGGAGATTACAAAATAGACCCCTGACTTATTAAAGTCTAGCATAAATTAGTGCTTTTATCATTTCTTGGATTATGCAAGAATCTTAGGACACATTAACTTTTTTTACCTTCCTTCCCAACTTATTGCTATTATCCCCATGTATTTTAGTTTTAAATTTCTTTTAAACCCTGAAAGAAATTAGTATTGAGAGTCAATATTCACTTCGATTTATCCTTTCTGTGCTCTCCACATCTTCCTGCATGTCTTATCTTGTAAGTAGGATCATTTTCCTTCTGTTTGAAGAATATTATTTAGTATTTCCTTTTGTGCAGGCGATGAATTATCCTGGTTTTTGTTTGTCTGAAAATATCTTTATTTTTCCTTAACTTAAAAGTGATGTATCTGTTTTGCTGGGTCTACACTTCTATGTTGGCAAGTGTTTTCTTTCAGCACATGGAGAACATTTTTCCATCGTCTCTGGCTTCTTATATTTCTGTTGAGAAATTATGTGAGTCTTATTTTTGCTCCTTTGCAGATATGGCTTTTTCTTATGGTTCTTTAAAAATTTTCTTTCTCTTTGATTTTCAGCAACTGCACAGTAACATAATTAGATATGGCAGGGAATGCATAGTGCTCTCAAGGTGGGTAGGTTAAGGACAGTTTAAAAGAGACATTTACGAAGAACTGGGCAACACATAAGGAAACCTTTAGGGGAAGTGTAGCAGCGTGTTGGTGTCACCCCTCATCTTTAGGGGAAAGGAGAGGGGGATTACTAGAACCTGGAAAGAGAGATTTGTGCAGGGGACCACCTTGAGAAGTACTGGAATCTTTGAGGGAAGGCTACAGCTAGTCCAACGCCACCCCTCGCAGAGAGAATGTACTCTCCTTCCCTCCATTCTGCCCCCCCCCGTTGTTCTGCATTGGCCGAACCCAAACTCAAGCCCGAGGGCAAGGGAGCCCCCTGATGCAGTACCTATAATTCAGTCTCCTCAGGAGACAATCGGGATGGAAGGAAACAGAAGGCTGGATGGAGAGTGCAGTTGAGGGGTGAACAGAGATGGTATCCACCCCAGTGCAGCTCACAGACCCGGAAACTGGGCAAGAGATCTTGACTTTGCAGGGGATGCTGGCCTCAGCCTTCTCTCATGTATTCTTGATCTCTTGATTACGTATATAAGTAATGCCCCTGCTGGCTGTCCATCTATATTTCTTTTTGGAACACTGCTTTATTAGCCATCTTCATATCCCTGTGGGTCAGGCTTCCCTGGCTGCCATTGCAGTAATTACATCCACTTTGTTTCTTAAGCTCCGCCATCTGCCCCTATATTATTTTGGGGTCTCCTCATCTGTGTTGCTACCAGGGACCCAGTTCTATAAAAGCATTCAGCCCCAGCATGCAGAGGAGAGATGCCACTAAGCCTCCTAATGAAGCTGGTGCTCTCTTCACTAGCACATTCTTTTCCACCTTTGTGAAAGAGTGTCCTCTGGATCTTCCCTAGAACCATAATCAGCTATTGGATTTTCAAAATTATGTAGTACAGGGATTGGCCAAGTTTCTCTGTAAAGGGCCAGGTAGTAAATCTTTGAGGCTTTGTGGGCTATGCGGTCTCTGTTGCAACAATTCAACTCTGCCACTGTAGTATGAAAGCACCAGAGACAATATGCAAATGGACGAGTATGGCTGTGTTCCAACACACTTTTATTTATAAACACTGAAATTTGAATTTCATATAATTTTCATGTGTCATGAAATATTATTCTTCTTTTGAATTTGTTTTCAACCACTTAAAAATATAAAAATCATTTTTAGCTCCCGGGCAGTACAAAAATCTGTGGTGGGCCAGATTTGAGCCATGGGCCTTAGTTTGCCAGTCCCTGATTTAGTAGGTTATATTGGGGAAAACTCTGTTTTTTCCTCTTCTCTACTCTTAACACTGCACAGAACACTTCTAAACACCAGATGGGTGGGTTTATTCCCACACTGACCAATTCTTCTACACCATCTGGGTGTCCTACAATCAATTCAGTTCTGACACTATCTGCTTGGAATTAACATCAGAACTCACAAATTAAGGGCTCAGTCCTACAAGACTGCCCTCTCTTCAGACACCAGCTGCAAGTCCCAGATTGTCACCTGTACTTCTGACTGACCGGCTCTACAACTGAAGTTCCTACAACCCCCTCCTTGGACTTGATAAGTTGCTGACAGCTCACAGAACTCAGAGGAACACTTACTTACATTTACTGGCTTATTACATAATACAGAAGATGATAAAGGATACAGATGAATAGCCAGATGAAGGAGATACACAGGGTGAGGTCAAGAAGGGTCTCAAGCGCAGGAGCTTCTGGTCCCTGGAGAGTTGGGGTGTGTTACTCTCCTGGCATGTGGATGTTTTCAGCAATCTGGAAGCTCTTTGGACCCCATACTTGGGGGATGTTTCTGGAGACTTCATCATGTAAGCATGATTGATTATGAACTCATTTCCCAGCCCCTCTCCTCTCTCTGGAGAATGGGGGTGCGGTGAGGCTGAAAGTTCCAAGTTTCGAAACATGGCTTGGTCTTTCTGGTCACCAGCCTCCATCCAGGAGCCCACCCAACATTACCTCATTGGAACAAAAGACTCCTATCACCAGGAGATTCCAAGAGATTTAGGAGCCCTGTGTAAGACATTCCTATCATTCAGGAAATTATAAGGGTTTAAGGAGCATTGTGTCAGGAACCAGGGTTAAAGACCAAACGTTAATAGAAACAGAAGATACAGACCAATATATATATATATATATATATATTCCTTATGATTTCACATACATCCATTATAGCAGCCTCACTTTTCTGAGCATTTTATTTTTTTCTTGCATAATTTGCTAAAGCAGTGTTAGCATCTCTCTTGACAGCAATGTATTAGCCTTCTCTTCTGGGGGCCTAGTGAGGGTGTTACATGGTAAGTCATGAGATGGGTCCCCATATTGACAAGTCACCCCTCGTCCAGTCTCATATTCTACTTGCCTGGCCCAGACTATCACTCTCAGGACTCACTCCCGGACACGTTCTCCCATTGTTGCCAGTACATGTTAACCACGTCCTTTCGGCACAACCTCTCTCCTCCCTCAGCATTCCCTCGGCTAGTGCAGGCTGTGGTCTTGCCCTACCTATGGGGCCTTGGCCTATAGGGGAGGTGGAGACAGGTCTGAACAGAGTCCTAACTTCCATCAAGGGGAGGTGGGCCATTTTTGCCGCTCCAGATGATGTGAGAGAAACAGGTGGCTCAGGGCGTATAGCCAGGGAGCCTCCTCCCGGGTCATAGAGATCCCTCCTTTTCTAGACACAAGAGACTAGCCCAAGCTTAGAATCCAGCCTGTTTGGAAGTTCTATCTCTTTTACAATTAGGTCCTGTGCCTGGTCTTTGGTGCTGGAGATGGGTGTTTCTTGAAATGCTGCCAAGTGCTGATAGATGTGAGCCTGTCATGTTCTCTCAGTGCATCGGGCGGTGGGGGTGGGCAGGGATTGAGTAAAATCTACTCAATACCACAGTTCTAATAATTACTCTTTTCCCATACTTCTCAAATGTCAGAGATGTGGCACCAGCTCAGAATCCCCTTCCATCTGTGTCCCAACCCATCTCACAACCAGTGGTGGGGTTTGTATTCCCATCCAGCTGGGGAGGGATTCCCCTCCACAATCCCATCCTGTGTCTGTTTCTAGGGCCACTGCCAGGAGCAACTGTGTTAGATCAGGTCCCCAGAAATAGAGCCTGACATGTGAATTCTGGTGAGAATAGTTTATTGGGATGGACTCTCAGGTGAAGCGTAGTAAGGGAGGCAGGATAGGGCTGAGGGAAGAAAGCTCAACTTGATGTGGTCTCAGCTGGAGACTTGGCTGCAGTAAGAATTGTATGCAGTTCGTTGTACCTTGAGGCAGGGAGCTGGCTTTTTGAATACTCACCTCAGTCATCACTGACCACTGGCTGCTCACCAGAGAGGGCCCAAGAGCAATTCTCTGGGGAAGGGGCAGCTGTGAGCCACCCAGAGCCCATAGTCCCAGTGTCTGGGGAATGGGAACACTGGTCAGGTAGGGAGGATCTGAGCAGGGTACCTACAGCATTCCCCACAGACCTGGAGAGCCTGTTGATCGCATTATTTAGGAGCATGGACTTGGGAATCCGACAGACCTAGTTTTGGATCCTGGCTCTACCACTTGAGTTGCTGTGGTAGGGTCTGTAAAATGCAAATAATTGTGATGCTGCATTCACAGGGTTGTGGGGAAACTCAAGTCAAATAATTCATGTAAGGCACTTGGCATTTTTCCTGGCATGCAGTAATAAGTATTGGTTGTGAAGTTCTTGTAATTATCATAAATTTTATTTACTGAAGCACTTCATAATACTTGGTACTCAAAAATGTTGATACTGCATGGATTGATTACAACTAAACGAATGGATATTGTTTGTTAAGCAGTTCCCCTAGGGGGACCTTCTGTGAGGGAAAGGAGAGATGGGTGTGTCCAGCTCCATGTCAATGACCCCCAACTGTCCCTCCTCCTCACATTCTCCCAGGGGGCAATGTTTGTCCTCCTAGGGCCCAGCTGCAATCTCTGTAGCTCCCTTTGGTCCTTTAGGACAAATCAGCCCCAGGCTTGTGTTTTATACTGACAATCACAGAGTCCCCTATGCGGGATGAAATGAAAATCGAACAGCTGAGAGACCCATCTCAGACATGTTTACATTTCCCAGAACACCTTGGAAGCCAAAATGGTTTTAAGATCCCAGGGCAAGGGTGGCCCATCTCGGAATGGAAGCAAGAACATACCAGCATCAAAGGTCACAATCAGTTCTTTGAGAAGGAATTGGCTATTTATATTTATTAAATGGATTGGGTCACATCAAGGGATGTAGTACTTTTTTCAAGTCCAGCATCAGCATGATCCATGATGACCATGCTTTTCCTTCATACCTATGGGAAGGGAGAGCAGCCATTGCTATTGAAAAGGAATGAACAAAACAGTGAGTGGGGACAGACCACCTGACTCCTGTGTGTGTGTTTTTGAGACCGTGGCCTCCCTCTGGGCCCAGTTCCTCAGGGCCTGCAGGGTGGCACCAGCCCTAAGTTTTGATATTTGTTCATGATGTACATGCATGCAGCCCCCCACCCGTCCCGTTAGCCTATACCCGTGCACTGCGGAGCTGGACACTAGCCAGTGGTGATGCCCGTTCCCTACCCTGGGAAGCCACGGAGGGTGGGAAGAATGAGGTTTGGTTTGTGTTTGTTGTGAGTCTCCAGGCCTGTGTGTGGCTTTTTGGGATTCTGTCCTCCAGACCTACGGTGGGGGTGAGTGACATGTTTAGAGCAGTCTCCAGTAAGACGGGGAGGGTGTCACCTTTGCAGTGGGTGTCGTTTGGCATTTCTTCGGCCATCCTGCTTGTGCCTACAGGTCTTTGATTTCCTTGGCTTAGCACAACCTTCACCTGCGATGCTCTCCTATGGGGCTAATGGCTGACTCCATACCCTTTATTTTCCCAAACAAATTTTGCTATCTGTCCTATTTTCCCATAAGAGCAATCATAGATATCTGACCATGCGTCCCTACCTGGGTTTGGAAAATCCCTGTTCTGAGGTATGGGGCTGAGGAAGACCGTGTGCATGTGCATGTGTGTGTGCACACATGTGTGAGTACACACACATTTCAGTCCTAAGACACATACTGTAAGTCTCTTGTGGGCCGTGAGGTTATAAAGAGGAACACGGCAGAGATGCTTCCCTCAGGGAGCTCACAGTTTGGGGCCTGAAGAGGCGAGAGGGGTAATATTGAGTTCTGGACAGCACTGCATGTTACAACAGAGAACATCCAGAAACATGTTCTAGGATCCAGGGAGAATGCCGCTCTCCCAGAAGGGTCAGAGAAGGCTTCTTGGACAATGTGCTATGGAGCTGAGTCTGGAGGAAAGAGGAAACAACTTTTTGGGGAACTACAAGGAACGGACAGTGGGAGTAGCACAAACAGAATAGGGGAGGCGGGAATCAGTGCACGGCAATTCAGGAAGCTGTAAGATGAGAGGCGGTCTGGCTGAGGAGAAAGAGCCTGGCCTGGCCCCGTGTCAGAACTGGGTCCAGGGCAAGGGCCTTCACCTGTCGGTGCCTATTAGCTCATTCAAAAGTAGAAGCTTCAATGAGGTTGTTGCCGAGATTACATAAAGGAGCTGGCCAGTGCGTGCTCACAGCAGCTTCGCAATAAATGGTGTCTCTCTGGCACCCAGGCTCTATACCAGAAGTTGGGGTGTTGGGTGGAGAAGCACTGCAGGGGATGCAGCTGGAAAGGTGAATGCGACCAAATCACAAAATGCATTTTGGGAGACATCACACACAGTCTCCTGCAGGGAATGTAGCGAAATTATGGACTGACTTGCGGGGTTTTACAAACCCCTTGACATCCACCTGTGGCTCCTATAGGAGATGAAGCACTCTTCGGTAGACAAGGGGAGCTGTCACAGGGTTTGAGGCAGAAGTGTGGCACGATCCACCTCCCAGTTCCAAACTGTCGCTGTGCTGGTGGCCATGTGGAAGTCAGTCAGAGCAGAAGAAAGAGGGCGTCCAGAGGCAGGCAGATGTAGAAGCACGGGGGGAGATAAGACATGGGGGTAGGAACAGAGAAGAGGGAAGTGATTTTAGAGAGAGTAAAACTAGAGTATTTGAGGAGTGAAATTGGACGGGGTTTTATGGCTGATCAGAATTTAACACTGGGCTTCAGGTTTCTGGTCAGCTTGTGCCACGAACGAGGACAGAGAATACAGGGTCAGGAACAGTTTGTGGCGGAGGAAACATGATGCTCTCATTTGAGACACGGTGAGTCTGGGCTTGCTGTGATGGCCTAGGTCTGGAGCTCGGGGCAGAAGTTTGTAGGGCTAGTTTGGGTAGAGATCTGGGAATCTTCAGGGGGCAGAGGGTGCTCGTAAGAGGGACATATAGATGAAGTGACTCAGAGTGTTGAGTATGAGGACACAGAGGGAAGAGCTCTGGGGAACCCCTTTATTTGGGGAGATCACGTGGCGGCAGGAAATAAACAGGCCTGGCTAAAGGGGAAGGTGAGGGTTCACAGGGAGAGGAGAACCAAGAGAGAGTGATGCCATGGAGGCCAGGGAAGGAGAACATGGCAAAAAGGCAGAAGTCAACAGTGCCAGATGCAGTAAAGAGAGCAAGAGAGCTGAGGCAGAAAGCTGCTTCACTGGGCTTAGTGAGTAGTGAATAGTAATGGGGTGCAGGGCTCCTTGCATGTGGAGCGAGTGTAGGTTCACTGGGGTGCTTAGTCCTGAAATCTAGCTGTGATGAGGTTGAGTAATTAAGGGTTAGGGAACTGGTGTTGGTAAGAACACAACCTAGCGTGTGTGTGTGTGTGTGTGTGTGTGTGTGTGTGTAAGAAAGGAAGAGAGAGAGATCATTGTAACTATGTATAATGTTGGGGAGTAACTTCTGAATAACATCCCCACATCCTCACTTAGTAGTTTGTTTGTTTTTACAAGAAATCTCTCAGAGTCCATTGTGCGGAAAGTGGCCTCAGGATGCTGGCACGCGAACAGGAGGAATGGAACCCCCAAGCTCTGTCATCGGCTGGAAGTGGCAGGCAGGCAGAGACGGCACCCGTGGGCTTCTACACAGAGCAAAGGGGAGAGGACTATGCCGAGCCACATGACTACTTCAATGTCCTGAGCTACAGGAGCCTTGGAAGCTTCAGCTTCCTGGCTGAGATGGGTTAGCTGCCCGAGGCATCATCTGGGAGAGGCACTCCTGTGTCTGCGGTTACAGGTGGATGTGTAAGGGTCTGCGGTCTTTGTCACCACCGTGTGTGCATGCAAGTATATGTTCAGTTGAATATGTTCAGTGAATAAGGGTCATTCTCTTCACCGTATTTCCTCTGCCTCTCCCCTTCCCTTCCATTGTGGCAGACCCAGAGGGAGCAGCTTGTATCTTGATTCTGAATGCACAGTTAAAAAAAAAAATGACTTGGTTTTGAATCTAGCAGTTGAGCAGACCCTGGGGCTCCGAGAAATGCCTTCCCCCTCGTAGCACTGGGTGGGGCTTTGGTGGTCTGGGCACGGGCAGAGTTTTGTGGATGATGATGATGATGATGATGATGACGATGATGATGATGATGGTATGACTCATCTCATTTCTCACGGTCATTTTCATCAACATTCACACATTCAAGGCATTTTATGAACAAGGCATGGTACCGGCTTCCATGGGGGAGATTCGAGCATGACTAAAATCGTGCTTTCGGATCTGAGCCCTTTTAGACCTTACACTTAAGTGGGGTAATGACATTTCCATTAAAGGTAGTAAGAAGACAGGGATACGAGACCTAGGCCTTTGGGAAGAGATGCTGGTGCAGGCTGAAGTAGTCAGGATAGGCTTGTCTGGGGTGAAGTGGCCTGGGAAGATGGAGGGAACAGGGAGGCTAGTGTGGTGAGAGCGGGAATTTTGTCTAGGGAGGACCGAGAAACTGACCAGAACTGCTGAAATTCCCACATGGAAGATCCCGGCACCAAGGGAGTCAGCAGGCCTTTGGATTTTATTCCTTGGGCAGATAATTCAAGTCTCCTTCTGTTGAGTGTGCTCAGAGTCCGGGGATGGCTGGCTGCAGGGGATCCGAGACCTTCCAGATGCCCGCCGGGGACGTGCGCAGGAGTGTGGCATCCTCTGTGGGAGCTGCATCCTAGCCCCTGGCCAGGACAGGACCCACCTTTTCTCTATCAATCCACCATTGAGCCAGTGAGGAAAGAATCTGTGTCCCACCAAAAGGAATACCTGGATTTAAAATAGGGACTCTTCCAGGGGTGCGGGGCGGGGAAGAGGGTGATCAAGTGTTTAAAGATGAATGCCCTCTCCTTAGCTGCTCTGAACCCTCAAATCCATCCCCTGAGTTCTTCGTGCTGGGGTTTGGGTGGCATCTAAGCACTGGTTTCCATTTAACTGGCATTCAGGTCTTTATCCCACCACCACCTCTCCTATAGGAGTGAGGAGGGGGCTGGGCTCACAGGTGACAGGTTTTCTTTCCCGGGCAGAGGAACCGAGGAAGAATGTGAAGCAAGGCTGTTGTTTGCCAATGGCTGGAATCAAGCACTGCCCTGCTCCCTAAGAATTAGGCAGGCTGAGCAAGAAGACATTTCAACTCCTACTCCTTGGATTTTGATTTTGATTTTTCTCACTTCTCTACCAATAGGTATGTGGTTAGGAGCGATGAGCTGAAATCTGTCCCAAGCGCTGAGTCCTCTGGAAGACAGATGGACACGTTTAAAGTGCTATTAGGTACCACAGCAGTTCACCACACTCTTCTTGCAGAACTAGTGCAAACTGCTTGCGAGTAGAACACAATTCATGGATTGGAGATGAACTAAAATGTAATGACAAAAAGGGAATGGCAGTTTGATCGGGAGGAGATGTCTATTGGGTCAAGGCTAGACTGAGAGTTACAGTGTTATTTAACATGATTATAGTAACAGGAAATATCTACAAATACCATTTGGATGGTGATAAAAGTACAAAAGGACCCATAGATGTGATAAATGGGTTTAGTCAGGTTACTAAAATGAGATTGAATTAGAAAATAAATTTTAAAGTGGAATTCACCAAACTGGCTTTTCCATGGAGAACCAGAAGAGACAGTCCCCTAAAAGCCAGGTTCCTGGAGACATGTCCTGTCCAGCCATTCTCCATGGGTAGCCATCTAGTGTGCGAGACGTGGTTAGTCTGAACTGAGAGGTAGTGTGCTACACGTGTAACACACACCCCAGATTTTGAAGGTTTATTGAGAATAATAAGAATATAAACTATCATGTTAATAACTTAAAAACATTGATTACATGTTGAAATAATGGTATTTGGGATATATTGGGTTCAATAAAATGTTATTAAAATTAATTCCTTTTTACTTTCTTAATATGGCTACTGGAAAAAATCTAAAATTGCATATGTGGCTCCGATTACATTTTTCTTGGACCAGGCATCATTAGACCCTAAACCCAAGCCAAGCTGGCACCAGGGAGGGGTGTCTATCTCTGACTGGTGGTCTTTCTCTTTTTCTCTGATTCATGATAGGGTTTGAGGAGGCTATAGGAAAGGATTACAGGGGAGATGGAGGTGGGAGATTATTAAGTGCACACAGGGAGTGATCCTAAACTCTCTTGGATCCCCTCTTGGATTTCATGATAGGAGAAGGAGAGAATAAATGAATTAATGAATGAGAGTTTGGGGAGGAATAAATGTATTGATTGCCCACCCTTTATTACTCCACATTCTAAGCCTGAGCATATAGAGTCTGATCTATAATCCAGAGAATTACCCTGAACAAATATGAGAAATCCTGAGTCATGGAGCTTTGAGATAGATGATCTTCATGAGTAGACAGGGTTTTCCTGTGCAATTTTATTTCACCACTTGTTCCTTCTCACCTGCGAGCCCTAGGAGATGCATCATCACACATTCAGGTTCATACAGATGCCATCAGTGCTGAGCTGGACAGGCAGGGTGGTTATGCGTGCTGCATACACATGGCAGCATTCTGGTGGGCACACTGTACCCACAAAGAGGAGGGACTCAGCAGCATGGCTGTGGCTGCCAGCTGTGGGGTGTGAGTTTTGTTCCATCTTCTGGTTCTTCCCAGTCCTGCTTCATGACTGTAACTAGTAAACTTCTACATCCACTCCAAGGTACACCTACCAAGAGGCCCAGAGGAGTTTAATGTGTGCAAGAGCCTGGACTTTCAGGAAAGCAGAATTAGGTACTTTGATGTTTGATGGAATTTTTTTTTTTTTTTTTTTTTTGCAGAAGGTAGAGTCTAGGACAAAACTATCCAATAGAACTTTCTGTGATGATAGAAATGTTTTGTATTTGTGTCATTCAATATGGCAGCCACTAGTCACATGTGGCTATTGAGCCTTTGAAATGGGGCTACTGTGACTAAGGAACTGAATTTTAAATTTCATTTCATTTTAATTAAATGTAAATAATGACATGACTAGTATATTAGACATCACAATTCTAGTAATTCCCTTGCATATGGAGAAAACATAGAAGAAGAGGTATATTTACAAGCCATTGGATGGGTCTACAGATGCTGTGCATTTATAAGGGCTACCACCAGGAATAAACGTGGAAGTCCTCTTCTATTCACCTTTTTTTTTTTTAAAGATTTTATTTCTTTATTTGAGAGAGAGAGAATGAGTGATAGCATGAGAGGGAAGAGGGTCAGAGGGAGAAGCAGACTCCCTGCTGAGCAGGGAGCCCGATGCGGGACTCGATCTTCTATTCTCCTGTGTCCTTTTTTTTTTTTTTTCCTGTATTCTTCCTTTGATCAAAACAAAGCATGAGGCCAAAAGCAGGCTGTGAATTTGTTTCAGACTCTTCCCAAAAGGTATCTAAGGTAGCTAAGGGATCCAGTTCATGTAAACAAGGTCATAGTTGTCAAAAGGTTTGCAACTTGTAGGTGTTATGCAAGAGGATTTGCCCTGGACTACAGTCATTCTGACTCCATGTGAAGAATACTTCCTCTGGTGCTAAAAGTCTAATTGATTTTGCAGAGATCAAGAGAGAAGTAGCTAGGATCTGTTGTGGACGGAGAAGATACTTGGTTAAGTGCTAAGTGCTGCTATTTATTTTTATGACATCAGATAAGTCACTTAACCTCCTGATGCTCATTATAAATGTTTCCTCATTTGTAAAATGGTTATAATAATATCTACTTCTTAAGGTTCTTGGGAAGATGAAGAAAATGTGGTTGAGTCTTTGTAAGCTCTAAAATGCAGAATTAATGTTGTCATTATTGTGCCTGGCGCTGCTGCTGATGCCACAGAAGTCCCCGAGGGGGCATCAAACCTTGTTGGGAGTAACCCAGGCGTCTGGAATTCCCAAACTCTTAAAGACTGGGATGGAAGGAGTGCTAAGAGTTGCAGGTGTATCCTTGGCGTCTGCAAGTTCTCTGTATTTTAAAATTTTGTTTTAAGTGAGATAAATTTTTAAGCAGTCAAACATATCCTGGATATTGATGACTTTTTTAAACAGGGCATTGCTGTTGCCTTCAGTCTTCATATTTGTGTTTACAATTAAGCTGATCTGAAGACATGGAAGTTTAACTCATAGATGATTCATTTGCTCCAGGAGGGTGGAATAGTAGAAGATTTTGTGGTAGTTGAAATAGTAGGAAAGTGGTAGCAGAGGAGAGTTGTCTTCACTTTGCACACTATAGGGATGGTGTCCTCAGAACGACAAAGGCCAAAGCAGGCAGTCCCCCTTACTTTATGAGCAGCAAAGCATCATCCGACATATAAAATTATTTTAAATTATTAAATAATCCATCAAGATGCTGTTCGGGTTCACAAAAATCAAACACAGCAAACAGTGCATCGTGAAATGTTTGCTTTTTCTTTATTTTCTTCTACTTCCTAGAGTATCAGGAGAACTTACGGGTTCAGTAACTGAGTTGCAATAAGTCAACATTTAAATTCATAGAGGTCACCTTTCAGCCCAGAGTTCTCCTTAAGACTCTCCCCATCCCAAGCCCCTGCCTAGGCATCTGTGTTCCTCACCCTGGTGGGAATGTCCGTCCACACTCACCTCCTCCAACACAAGGTCTGCAAGTCCTTGGGAGTCCCCAAACTCAACTGCTTATTCCTTGGACCCTTCTCTGACGTACCCTGCCTGTATATCTTTCTGTTAGTTTATGAACTTCCGTGGCACTGACAGTCTGAATGGAACAACCTAGCTCTTGATCTTATAGGAATCTTCATTCTTAGTTGTTAGATTTCAAGGCTTACCAGGGTTAAAGTAGTTTTCTTCATTCCCTTCACAAACTGCACAATGTTGAGTGAAATATAGGTGCTCACTGAAGACTTGGTGAATTTACTTCAGTCTGGTTAACTGCCCTAGGGACAAACAAGATGTATGCTTTCTCCAGCACACCAGTAATTTCTGTGAGGATCATGAGATTAGACCGCTCTTATGGGTAGGGCTGCATATGAGAAAGGGACTATGGAGGAGATAGGAGCCTCTTGGGGGTCCCCAAAGTCATCAAATGGGGACATATTTTGAGCTGCGAGCTTTCCTTGGATACAAGGGTAGAAGGGCGTAGTGTCACACGGTTCTTTCCACAGGAGGCAAAGAGATACTGATTTGCATGTGGGTAGGAAAAAAAAAGTGAATCAATTTAGCAGTAAATGAACCACATGATCACATGTGAGTTTTGGACAGGAGGAGGAAAATGCCCAAATTTGCCTTACGTATCCCTAAAGTGATTTCAGTATCAGCAATTCTGGGATTCTTATGTCTTGTATCAAGAGAACTGATGTGTTGAGAATTTCTCTGGCCTTTTAGGTATAATCTTCAATTTGGATAATCTCCACCTAGACCTTGATCACAGGGTATGAGAGAATGTGAAGGACCATCTGAAACAGAAACCCTGCCACGATATAAAGAAGACGCAATAGGAAACCCAGAGAAGAGTTTTTTTTTTTAATTATTCCTTCATATTCAAACTTCACAAACAGTGTGAACTTGTACAATACCTCAGAAAGTGAAACTTACAAAAAAAGTGCTGGTAACATTTAAAAAAAAACAACAAAAACCCCAAAAAACAAACATCATTCTTAGCAACATCAATTACTCTTCCACACAAAACAGAAACCTTGTAAAATTTATTTTCGTATTTTTAAGGCGTAATACTTCCGTATAAAGTATATGCAAGAGATAAAACTTCACAGTATTCCAAAATGTCACAATAATAATAATAATATAATAGTATAATGAAGCGCTACAGTTAATTTTTCTTTTTTTGAATGTTTTTTTTCCTGTTTAAATAACAAATACAAGTCACAGGTAAATATACGTGAGAAAAATACGAGGCTAATATTAAATGGCAGGTAAGGATACTGTCACTGTAAGAAAAAACTGGCAGGATGTGTGTATTTAGTCTATATTTTAAAGCACTTGATAGAAAAGGCGTATGCAAGGTTTTTCAAAACAATTTTTTGTTTGATAACTGACAACAATTTAAGAGTATAATGAGAAAAAAAAAAAGGAACAAACTCCCTCTCAAAACTATTGACCTGCTCATCCCAAACCACGCATATGCTGATGGATGGATGGATGTGTGTGTTTGTGTATACATGGGTTTACAGGGTACACAGATTGATACAAGCAGTGTTCCATGCCCACCTGCAAAGATCTGCAGTCATCGAGCCCAAGCTCCTGTTGGGAAATTATTCTTTCAGTTTAAAGCTCGCTCTTCCCTTGCCTTTCCCTCTTTCCAAACTCTTCCCCAGTTCCCAGGTCTTCGGTCTGAAAAGACAATCTGGTTAGAAAATTTGCCCTCCGTTCAAAGTTCACTGGGAAATAGATACTGCATGAACAGTGACACCCACACGGACGTTGAAAATACCACTTGGACGAATGAATATGTGCATGTGCGTGCGTGCGTGTGTGTGTGTGTGTGTGTGTGTGCGTGTGTACAGTAGCAATTGCAAAAAAGGGACCATATTCCTTTCCATACTAAGATACAATGTGATAAGAAACATTTCTGTGCAGGGAATAGGGTTTCTTTGAATCTTATCACAACACTGTGGCGGGAAATTCAGGAAATGGGTTCACCTTTCAGCAGTCACCACGGTAAACTTCATTGAGAACGCACATGGCCAGACAAGTGGTCTGCGCACATGTGTGTGTTAACAGCTAGCCATTCAGCCAACAGGTAACAGAAAGACAGCAGATAGCAAAACACGTCAATAAGGTGCTCAAAGAAAAAAGTGGCACCCACTCCTCGAATGGATGGCCACATTAAGGTGCTTCAAAAAAGTTTTTTTTTTTTTTTCAGTTTCTATTTCAAACATTAAGAGTACTGATCTGCACATGGTAGTTCTGAGCCAGGCCAAGGGTTTTGAGATTTCTGACGTCTTCCACTGAAAAGGGCTTTCACTGTAGTTTTATTCAGTTTGTTGTGGGTCACTTGAGTCTAAAGAATTTTTTTAATGGCCAAAAACTGAAATCAAATCAACATAACTAAAAGAAATAACAGATGAAATGATATAGAACATTACTGCATTCCCATCGGATCAAGATGGTTGCGCCCATTTTTCCTCTTTTGCTAACACTGTTCCTTTTTTTTCTTTGTTACAATCCATTCCTTGTGAACATACAGAAGTAACCAAAATCACTGCAAGTGGCTGTTTTTATTTTTTGTGATCTGTTGCAAGAGTCCAACCTTGTTTCCTCTGCTGCTGTTCGTGTAGCATCTGTAATGAGCATCTGGATTTATAATGAGCATCTGATTTTGTTATGTGCACGTGTGTATATATGCACATATACACACCTATACATGTATAATATATACACTATATATATATGGATATATATAGGAAGTGTGTATACATTTATACATAATATAGTGTATATTGTTTCAACTGGAGATAAACTGAACTGGGTTCAGACACTAGCACGTGTTTATCTTTCCCCTGCTCCCTCTGGACATTTTAAACAGTCTGGAGCTTTTATTTATTTTTTAAAGTGCATTTTCAATGCAGAATAACTGTAATCCACTGATTCCTTGGAAAACATTTTTGATGAGAAAAATCTGACGGTTCTCAGCCCCAAGCAAGAGAAACCTGGGTTTGGTCGTGCCGGGGGCTGACGTGGCAGTGCCAGGCTTGTGCCTGAGTGATTGCTGGGCATTCTGGACCCCGGGCACCTAGCAGCAGCGGCAGCAGCACCTTTGCGAGAAGGCGGAGGTCAAAGAGGAAGAAGGAAGGAAAGCTCAGATGAGGAAGGATGGGTTTTCGGTGTGTTTGCAGGTTGGAATTGTTCACTTTGTATGGGTTTGTGCAGTTCCTGCTTGGCTTCGGCTAAGAGATGCCATCTAGTCCCTTCCCTGCCAACTGACACCAACCTCCCAACGGCCCCCCCCCCCACCCCGGGGCCCGCATGTTCGAGCATCGCTCGAGCGTCCCCACTCCCCAGGCTGACTTCCGTGTCCGTTCCCTGTGGGTATGTGAGTGCCAGCATCAAGTAGGAATAAGGCACCAGAGAAATCAAAATGTTACAAAAAGATGCAAAACCCCGTTTCAAAGAGCCTCTCCCATTGCTCCATTAAAATATTGCATGTGATACCATTCATTTGTGTGTACTTAAAGTGTGTCAAATGCAGTCTCTGGAAGGAACTCAAGGCCCTTCAGCACCAGAGATCTATAGGAATGCACCCTTTATCGAAACACACCCACTCCCCCACCCCCAGGCCCACCCCACGCCACACTCAAAAGCACCAAATCCGGAGAACAAGGCTGCTTGCCATTGCTCACCTCATTTGTGATAAAAATGAGAGAAGTGTATGAGAGAGAATAGTCAGGAATTGCTCTAAAGTCAAATTAGAACCCTAGTCAAATGAGGGTTCAGGCTGTCATGTATCTGGTTAGGTAATGCTCTAAATGTCCAAAAAGCATCATGAAGGGGTTGACATGTCTGTGTTAATATTTAGGGGGAATGTGTTAAACAAAAATTACTTTGCAAATGATGCCCAAGTCCTCCACTAACACTTCAACCTCCCCTATTTTTTTAAGCACTGTAAAAAGGAAGAGGTTCATCTAGCTATAAAAGGAAAAAATGAAGGCACATGATTTTATTCGGTCCCACAATCCTTAAGAAAAATGGTATTTTGTAAGTGTGTGTGTGTGTGTGTGTGTGAAATGGGAGTCTGAGGGCCATTGGGGGGCAGTAGTCCAAGGGAAGTTGGAAAAGGAGAACAAGAGAGAATTTTGAGACAGAGAGAAGAAAGGAGAAAGGAGGAAATGGAGGCCTCTCTTCAGCTTTCTGTCATTGACAGTCTCAAGATTTGGCTGCTTTAGGGTCCAGAATGGAATTCGTTTGTCTTGGTCTAGAAAGTGCCCCCAGTTAAATATCTCCAGTTAATCATGTTACAGCTTTTGGTGTTTCCCTTTTCCCTTCCCTCCAGCCAAATGATTTAAAAAAATCACAGTTTTTAAAAATTATTTTTTCAATGTTGAAAAAATATGGAAAGCTATTGAACAGCCCTAGGGCACTCTGCCTCTCCGTCTTCACAGTGAGCAGATGGATGGACAATCCACAGAATCAAAGATGAGGCAGACAAGATCCCTTGTGCTAGATGGTCCCTTGCCCTACCTTCCCCATTTCTTTCAACTGGATCCTTCCTCCCCCGAGCCCGTCCACGGAATGTGGGCTGCTGAGAAAGGCAAAGCCATTCTGGAGAGCGATGGTAACAGACGGGTCTTAGAAGCGGAGGGCAGAGGTGTGGGCAGGCTCTCTCCTCCTCTGGCAGCAGAGCCGTGTGCCCTTCGAGCAGCCTGGCCACAAGCTGGGGAAGCCCAGGTGCCCGCTGAGAGGCTGAAGTCCCACTCATATCTACTTCATGAGACCTCAGCCCTTCTGCTTCTCTTTGCGTCACAGCTGGCCCCCAGTCCTGAAGAAGGCAATGATCCAAGACGGAGAGGCAGAGCCGACTGGCTGTGTCCTACAGAAAAGGGCTACGGACAATGGGATTTCAGAAACAAATTGAACTTTGGTTTTCTGACTTTTTTGAACCGTAAAAATTAAAGCAGGGCTTCAGGGGCGTGCATCATCTGACAGCTGTTCTATTTTTTTCTCATTTGGCAAGGCTAAGGCGGGGGGGAAGAGAAAAGGGGTTTCCCATAATTGGTCGAAGACACAGGGTGGTAAAATGCTTCCACACTTAAACTCACAGTCCAGTGTTTTTGACATTTCATAAATAGCTTTTTTTTTCTCTAAAAAAAGAATAAAACAAGAACAATCCCTTTACTTACTCATCTGAAACAAAATAAACAGCAGTGGGTACAAACTTCTTCTTGTAACAATTACAAAAAACAACAATATAATCCCAACTTTTAACACGCATCTTGAATCAGTTATTTTTTTTTTTTTAACCTCAAAACTGCAGCATATCCTTAAGGGCAAACTTTTCGATTAGTTTTTTTCTTTTTTTTTTTTTAAATAATGTCTTCACCAAAAAAACAGTCTTGTACCAATAAAATGCATTCAAAAATAGAAAATATTACACAACAAAAATATGTATCCTTCCTTTCCAAAAAAGATTCTTCACAAAAAAATGTAGAAAAAATTCCAACAATTTTTTTCCTCTCCTAAACATTAACTTTCAGTCTAGGGCACAATTAGTTATTGATTTAAATGTCTGTTTTTGCATAAAACATGGAAAATGCAAAACAATGACTGTATTAGGATTGTGTAGTTACATCCACTCCCACCCCGACTCCAAAACAAGACAAAACCAGAAAAACCCAGCAAACATTAAACAAATGATACAGCCACTTGGCTAGGCAAATTATCTCTGTCTTTCCTCTCACTGTGCATTTGTATGAGTTAACTGGCTCTGTTGGTACTGGGAATGCTGAAGAACAGGGGTGGGCCTAGAGTCAAGAGGTTCTTTAGCACTGGCTGACGTTCTAACGAGTCACGGACGGCCTTCCGTGCTGTGGGCCCACGCGCTGCAATCCTCACGGAGAAAAGAAATACGTGAGGTAGTACACGGACAGAGGACCCAGACCTCGATACAAGCCAGTTTTTCAACCATAGCACATCTTTTCCATCCTCCTCCCCATCAAAATGGAGCCCAAGCATAGGATAAAAAGGTGATAGAGAGTTCCAGAAGTGCTGGGTTTATTTCCTCTAGAGTCATGCCTCTCCCACATTTAACCCCTTTGGCATTAGCTGGAACCATGGCAAGATCTCAGATCTCAAAGGAATGCCCCATTTCTCCCATCCCCAATGAGCCCACTGAGCCCACTGAGTGTCTTTTATATTTTCAGCAGTGTAACTTCTAGGACTTATCTTTCTTATTTGATGTTATTTCTCTTTTGTGTGAGATAGATTTTGTATGTGTATTCAGTAGGAATAGGTGGTTTTTCTCATAGCTTTTTTTTTTTCCTGTTGCTTATTTGGTTGCTGGTTTTTTCTTTGTGGTTTTTGTTCTGTTTTGTTTTTGAATTTTTGAACAGTGAAATGTGTCCAATTTTATTTCCAGTGCATTAAACAAATTTTAAATTAAAAAAAGAAATAAAACTTTTCCCCCCATCCTTCTAAAGGAAATGACTGATAAAAGTACAATATAATAAAATCAGGCATCGCCAAAAATAGCATGATGTGCAACCTCAATTACATCAAAGAAAAACAAACAGACAAACAAAAATTATAGAACATAAGCATGAAGGAGCCAAGACTATATAATCTCAACTATGGTATGATTGGCAAGCACTGGTTAAAAAATAGGTAAGGCTACTCTTAGATTTCTAACTCAACATAGTTAACCACTGCTCTTCTGTCTTTTCCTTCAACTCTTAATCTTTTACTCACTAGTTCTTTATATCTTTAGAATGAGCAAATTTGTTTTTATATTTTTGGTCTACAGTAGAATTACATATTAATAATATAATAAAAAGATATTTCATTAACAGGTTGGTACTGCATCCATGTGGGGAAAATAGAAAAAAAGTACTCAAATAGACATAGCAAATGGACTCTATTCTTATAAAAATAACCACAAATATAATAGAAATTATAATCAGGGCAACAGATTCAACAGAAAAACAGGAGTAGAAAGCTATATTTTGGATAATACAAACTCTTGACAAGCTATGCCCTAGAATTGCAGCCTCTAAACCTTTTCTGTGATTTCCACCTTCCCATAGGATCACTCAGAATTCAAATGGAAATGAAAACAAAATGAAAATAAAGTGACAGGTGGTTGAGCCAGCCAAAGCTTCTGAGTTATCTTAGTTGGCTGGGTCAAGACCAGGTGGACAGCATTTGAGAAACTGGCAGGCCACAGGGGAGCCGCTGATGCTATCTGTTTTTGATTTTGGAAGAGTTTCCAGCCCACTGATAAAAAGAAAAACCAAGGAACCAAATAATTCTTCTGGTAACATAAATACATGAGATGAAATATAATTCTGACAGAGGCGACGGGGGGGGGTGGGTGAGGTGGGAAAGAGGAGAGAGGGGAAACAGGCAAACTGTGGGCACCACCTTCCTTGTTTTTCTTCAACACGTGGGTTTCCTTCTCTTTCTAAGCATTTGTTAGGATTAACTGCAGGCTCCAATGTCCTCTGGGCAAATAAGTGTCAGCTCAGCTTGCCACAGGATATCTCTGCTTTTCAGCCTTCCTAAGGGCTAGTGGCTCTGGAGGAGCCTCACTGCCCCCCCCTCGCCCCCACTGCCTCATGTCCTTGATGAGGCAGAGGAGGGGGTGCAAAGTTGTAATGACAGATGGCCTTTACATTAGCCATTCCTACCTGATGGTTAATTCACACCGAAGATTCAGTGTGGGGGAGAAACGTAGGAAGGAAAAGAGTTGAGCTTGGTAATCAGCAAGTATGAAGTTTCCTTCCAGAGAAACGAAGAAGAAGGAGAAGAACAAGAATAAGGAGAAGAAAAAGAAGAGGCATCAGTTAGAAAATACTGCTTTTGGTTTCTTTTAACATTGAACCATCCTTGGTTTTTCTCTCATTCAGTTGCTCCAGTTAAGTAGAGTTCAGAATCTAGTGCAAATATCATCAACTCACGTCATCCCAGGAGCCAGATCCTGTCCCTTCATCCTAAGTGAACACTATCCCTTCAGACCTCCTCAGAAGACTGGGGGGTAATGGTCCAGAAAAGCCTAACTGAACAAATTATTAATCGAGTACTCGCTGTAAGAAAGGCACTATCACAACAGGTCAGCCTCAGCGCTGTCCTCGCCATGCGCATGGGCGTTTTGACCACTCCGGTGACCACACTGAAACCCAGATCGTGGCTTTTTCAATACTCGAATTCGCTTGCCAGTTGTCTGCCTCTCTCTGGCCGTTGCTGTGGGCTCTGGCCATGAAGAGCAGCGATCTGCTCTGTTGTCTATGCTGCCCCCCATTTCACCAACAATCCTTGTTTGGTTCTATGTGATTTAGCTCACTCTCTTCCATGGAAGTTTCTTTCTCTCCATCAGTCTTCAGGTCATGACTCTATTAAAGACCAGTTTACAGTGTCAAGGTACTACTGTTTATTTTTTCCCGATTTTTTTTTAAACCTCTGACCAAACCCTAAGTCATGAAGACAGTTCAGTAGCTCCTCTAATAACGAGTCTCCTGTAAAAAGCACTGTGAACAGAATGAAAACCAAAGTGTCATCCCACCAAAGCATACCCCTCGAGCCTGTCATATTATTTTTGTCTGGGAGAGAGGAGATTAGGCTCTGGTGATTAAAATCTTTGGTGACAAAACCACAGTGGGTATGCAAGTTTCACAAAAGAAGTTGTTTCCCCAAAGCCTCAAGAGAAGTATCCTAGGACAGTTAATGTGAATGTATCTTAAAAGGCCAATTATTTCTTTCTATACCTTTGGTTTGATGCAGTCAATACCGGCTTAGTGCTTATGCAATACACATCTCTAAGTACCTGTTAAGAGCTCTGAATTTAGAGTTTCCTATTTAAAACTGAGATAATGCTTTGAGTGCCTAAGGGATTGCTTACGTTATTCTGAAAGCCCTAAGTGGTGTTTTTTTCTGACTGGCAAGGCTGACAGTTCCCTTACAAATTTTTTACCTTGTAATAGTAGACTTGGGCGGATGCTAAGGAGGAAAGAGAGAGAGAGAGAAAGAGAGAGAGAGAGAGAGAGAGAGAGAGAGAGAGAGAGGATGAGATAGGTATCAACGTTGTAATCTTAGGAAAGAGACCTCAACTGATAGTTTTCCAAATTGATGTCCCCACATGTGATAGTGTTCAGAGAAATTCAACATTAGCCATTTATATGTGTTGTGACCCTTTCTTATGGAACCAGAATCTTCCAAGCTGTCACCTTGGATTCTGGAAGAGCTCTTCAGCATCCTCACTCTTGTGTTATTGTGCCCTACACAACCGATTGCTTTTCCTGTGGTGCAAGATTCTTTTATTAATAGTCACTGAAGAGCTGTCATGCACTAATTACTTCTCAGGCTTAAAAAGGCAATAAAAAGAAATCCAATAAAAAAATTGAAAAAATTCAGCAAATTCAAAGCTAAACTTTTAGGCACTGTTAAGGTCTTCTGCTTAATAAAGGATAGTCTATGATGGAGCAGCTAGTAAGTAGGTTCTGACAATTCTCCAACCCTTCCTTCAGTTTCAAAGTTGGCCTAGCTTGTTTCAAAATAAACCTTTCACCTCACTGGTTTTCAGTGTTTATTGCACTGTTCCCTTACTGCCTTACCACGTGCATGGCCTTCCTCTTTGGTTAGCCTGATCTAGGTCTCACCCAGGGATGGAAAAGCATGCTCAGGCTGAAAGGATATCTCCAATACAGACAAAGCTGTGGTTTTTTTTTTTTTTTTTTTTTTTTTTTTTGAAAGCAGGGCATGCCACCGCCCTCTGCCACACTGGAATGTGTGTCAGCAAGGGGTTTTGTGGTGGAGGCCAAGGTGAAGGCTCAACCTCACCTCGGCTGGCTCCCTTACCATTGTAAATATACTGGAAGCTTAGCTAGAGACAACACTGGGCAAACTTTTCCTTTAACATCTTCAATTTACTGTACCAGCCCAGCTTCTTTATAATAAGACAACAG